AAACTTATGCAAAAACTTACTTGATTAAATATCCTGAGAACAAAGCACAACATCCACATACCTAATGTATCTATTTGTGTTACCTCACCCCAGAGTTGAGCTTAAGTGTCTAAGACTAGACATCCATCCCAGTTTGAAAGCAACATCCCTTAGCTTAGCAGCTATCATTTAACTTCTGCCACACTACACACAGGACTTTGCTGTATACTATAAAAGATATGTTCTCCTGGAGACAGCATTTCCCCGCAATTTCTAAGCTTGGTTAAGCTGTCTTCATTCAGCTAGCTTGGTAGTGGAAAAACTTCATTACCAAAAGCAAGAGCTTCTTTCATAATTTTATCACGCCAAAATAAAGATCAACTTCACTGTGTTCTCCTACTTTCTCTAATCTTAACATTGCTTCACAAAACAGCAAGATTAGTAAGTACTAAGAAGTTGCCCAATCATTTTCACTTCAAAATGTGTCATTTAAAAAATGTGCTACAAGCAATGCCCAAAGAGGGACCTGTGCTACCAAAATGCGAGTCCTTCAGGTCTTTCAGCTTGCACCTAACCTAGGAGGTTTGTCTTGTCTTCAGCTCTCTGCCTTCCAGCTCTGTTCCTGCACCAACCTGGTTCTGTTCCACCCTTGATCTGCCCGGTCAGGCATCCAGTCTGGGAGAAGTGCTCCAGAGAAAACAAGCTCCCATTTATAAAGCCAGGTCCTGACAAGACATGATGATTGGCACTTTCCAAACACAACTGGAGACGATGAAGGGCGCTGCTTCCTTTGAACTTGCTGATTATGGCACCTGTCTGTGAAATCAGTCCTCACCTTGAGGGGTGGCCACTAACATCTAAGGGCACAACGTGGTTAGGAAACAAACCTTCACCCTGCTTTGATGCAGCAACGCAAATACAGCCACTCCGGGGAGGGAGCTTGAACCCTGAGAAATGAGAAGCCATCTCACGAACAACAACCACGAGCACCTCTCCGAAGCAAGTAACTGCAGTTTTGCCATTAGGGCTGCCTTGCCTATTTCACTTCATTTCCCTCTAGTCCCACCCACCCTCCAAAAAATAAAAATAAAATAATAAATAAAATAATAATAATAATAATAAAAAACAAACAAATCAAACAAACAAAAAAAACCCACTAGTTGGCTAGGCTACTGCCTTGAGAATAAGCTCGAACATAGCACTTGAACTCTTACTTTTAAAGCAAATAGGCTGATGGTTACAACACTTGGCATCTATCTCACTCCTCTGTCACTTACCTCTCCTCACAGATCTAGATAGCCAAGACATTAAACACAGCCTGGTTTCTATTCCTCAGGGAAGTATAGCTAAAAGTCCAGCAGCACAGGATCTCGATAAAGTTTTAATTTGTTCTGTTTTCCTGGCTAATTTTCATCCTTGGGAAGCACAGCAGTCCAAGCTTCAAAACAAAGAGCACATTGTATTATTTCACAGTTACCTCGTATACTTTTAAAAACAATTATTAGAAACATTGCAGTTCTGCTAAGCAGCATCCGATTCTCACGGCCCTTCCAGAGTTCAATAATGACCATGAAAATTAGAATACCATAATGTCTTTCATTAAAGTGCCACTTCTGACGATTGCTATTCAAAAGGAGGTGGGGGCAAAGACAGAGCTGACACAAGCACAGAACAAAACCCCATGCACATTAATTCTGACATAGATTTTATTCAATTGATAAAATCTTTCAGATGGAAAATGATCCTTTAGGAAGCGGTCCAAGTGATGATTCTTTAAATATTCCTCCACTGCCACTCAATGCAAAATATCAAGCACAATTAGAATACACAAAAAAATGAAGAACACTCAGTCCTCATCTGATCTGAAGTATGTGCACAAACACAACAGGCATTAATTTTATCAGTGACAGCAACTGGGATAAGACTCTGAGGGCCATAGAGAGATGGCAGGATTCATCATATTAAATTACTAGCCCTTTCAGCCCTTCAAATGCCCTAATCAGATGCATGTTTCCTGTCATTTGGTTTTCACCATTTTTTCTGGTTCTACATAAAGATAAAACTGTTCATTGTTTGCACTGGGCTGTATGAAATGCAAGTGTCACAAGTTTGCTGGAACAGAGCAAAGGGAAAAGCAGCGAGGCAGCCGTGCGGTTCCCACGCTGCCATTCAGGAGCACAAGTGAATGCAGTGCGCCGGAATTGCACCTGCTTGTGTCAGCAAATACTTTGGCTCATCGCTCGTTAAATTAACATCCTTGGCTCTCCAAGGCTCACTTTACATAGACTCACTTTACATAGAGGTAGAGCCTCTTGCATATGTTTTTCTTGCTGCAGGACAGGTAGGAACCACAAACGCATCTGCAGCAAAAGCCATGAGGAAGGAGTAGGGCTGTTCTCCGACCTACGATATTTTGGGGAACTCTTAAACAGTTCCCATCTCAATTCTGTGTAGGTTGTACAAAACAGCCTTTTTGGTGGACAAAATAGCAGGAAAAAAAAAAGTGAAAATCTCACATGAGAAAGTAAAATTCCTAGAATATGAACACTCAATAATTGCTCACAGAAATTGTGAGGCTAATTACTTGAGCTCTCAAATGTTTAAGAGAACAGGAAGAGAGGCCTTGCATGATGTAGAGTTTAGATTTAGAAAACTTGACTAAAACATTCAAGTCAGAAGATAAAAAAAGGAAAAAAAAATGTTTGTATATATGCTTGTGAGGGAGACAAATAAACAAAACAAAAACAACAACAACAAAAAAAACACTGTTGATGCACAGAAAGTTTGTACCCAGGCAAAGACAAGCAAACAAGATACACTACTACTTCATTCAATCAAAAGAAAAATCTACATTTAGGGCCCAAACTAATTTTTGGTCAATTAAGATTCCACTGACACTATCAGCAATTACAACAAGGCTATGACCTTAAGACCACAGATAACATTGAGGCTACTGTCAATATTTGTTATCACACTGAAAATCCAGAGTAATTTAGGCATAATTAGCCAAATCCTACTGAACAGGACACAAACTTAAGGACTTTTCTTATGTAGGCTAAGACGGTGGCGGTGCTAAGAACAAATCACTTGAGGCTTTGACTTAGTAAATCGCTTAAGCATCTGTGTAATCCCCATGACTTCAGCGAGACTACGCGTTGTGTGCCAGTATTCTGATGGATGAGGTTGTTGGCCTTATATTTATCCTGTCACAAATAAACAAACAAACAAACTGATTAAATGAATAAAATAAGAGGCTTGAAAAAAAAAAAAACCCTCCCTCCAGTGGCTATTATGATAAGGCCTCCTGGTAAGGCCCTGTATTCATGAAATCACAGAAACTGCTATTTTCTTACATGGGTTTTGCAACAACTGAGTTTAGTGATGATACTTTTACACCCAGTCATCCGCCCCACTAGGCCCATGAGAGGCCTTAAAGCAGCCAGTCAAACACAGCTCTCAGGTGACCATCCCAGCCTCAAACATTGAGGCTCCTGCTTTACTTTCCACAGAGAGCTTCGAGTTAAACGAGTTCAGTGTTTGCAAGAGTAGGCCCTAGAGGCCATCTCATCTCTCCTCCTCAAATAAATGCAGGATATTTTCCAGTTAAATGATACATGAGTCTTAAGGAGTCCTCCTACCTCTCTCCATATGTATCACACTTTCCATGCTTCTAATTAGCCTTCAGTCTAAATTACTATTTTCCTTATCCTGTGACACACATAGTGTTCTTTGGCTCTCCTCTTTGTTTCTGTCTCCCTTTATTTCATCTTTGCCTATATTTTCTCCCCTTCCCCTAAGACCAGCTGTTACTGCAGTGACAAAGCATCTCTACCTTGGTATTGTTCTAAGTGATCAGCTGTACTGTCTTTTATTCTGATAAGTAGTTTTACCAACACAACAAAAGGCAGACAGATATTAGTTGCCTTATCATTCTCCTTTCTGCATCTTTACATGGTGGGCATATTTTGATAAAAGTGTTTATCAAAAATTCCAAGTGGCACCTATTCTGCGCACACTATTCATAGGAAACCTGAACATTTTTATTACAGTTTATGTCTTTTTAATTCTCATTCATGGAATGGGTTGAGTTAAGCCATTACATAGTTACTTTAGCAGCTAATTACTGATGCACTACTACATATCAAGATACCTGCATTAAAGATGCAAGGCAGGTACCAACAATAAGCACCTAATCTGTGAATGCCTTTTTCTTTTGTTTTTGTTTTTTTGTTTTCTTTTTAAATCAGATATGGAACAAAAAGAACTTAATGAACTTGGGCAGGACACATGGGTGAAGCTAGAGGAGTTACAAGCAGAACCAGTGCTACACACCACTAAGACCTCACTCCTGAGTGCCCGCAGCTGACACCAGCTTCAATTACTCTTCTGCAGGCTCCGCAACATTGTAAGTCAGGCTGAAGCACCATGGGCACCTACCAATTTAGTTAATTACTTTTAATGTAGGATTAAAAGTCTCGGTATTTAGTTTTCCAATTGTAAACTGATATGTAACTCCTTCAAACATTTAACATTTCCTAAGTGCTAAATGAAGGGTTACTACTTGAAATGAAATACACCCTTGGCAACACAGGAGAGGCCTCAGATTCTGACATCTCAGCATGAAAATTGGGATCTCAAAGTTGGAGGCACTGCAAAAATCAGAACCCCTGCCTGACCCAAAACACAAAGGCCCCAAACTGACAGCAGACAAACTGCAGGTAAAATGGAGAAGTGGCAGGTTAGAGGGCAAGTCCTGCACTTATTTAACCCTCGCTGCGCTATAAGCAAGGTTTATAACGCTCGTGCCTGCCCGGGGTGCAAGGCGAGGGCCGGGCGCTTCTCGTGCGCCCAAGCGGCTGCCATGGAGGCGCTGACAGCGCTCGCCCCGCGCCCCCCTCGCTGCCCGGGGGCCGCGGCCAGCGCTCCCCCCGCGCCCCCCTCCCCCGCGGCCCTGCTGACATCACCAACGGCCGCTCGTAACGGCCGCTCCCCCAGGGCCGCCGCCCGCGCGCGCCGCGCACCTGCACGCCCGTGTAGTTCTCGAAGAAGAAGAGCACCATGCTCTGGTAGAGGGTGTAGAGGCGATCGTCCACCTCGCGGTAGAGGCGCGCGGGCAGCACGGCGGAAAGCAGGCGCCAGGCGCCCCAGGCCAGCACGTAGGTGGGCGCCGCGCCCATCATGACGGCGGCGGGCACCAAGTAGCGCATGGAGTACGTGTGCAGCACCAGCGAGAGCAGCATCGTCCCGCCGGCCTCCCCGCGGCGCCCACATGG